TTCCGGAAAATTCTCACCAGAATACTTTTGTACGCTTGTAAACAATATAATGAGCTGTCACTGGAACAATTTCAAAAGCTGTCGGACGGGTGGCTTAAAAATGACAGCAGTCTGAAGTTGTTTGCATTTTTTTCATCTCACCCTCTACACCAAATATAGCTCAGAATCGGTTCAGATTTGGATATAGCTCCCATATATATATCTATCCGATTTCAAGTTAATTGTACACCAAATGTCAGACGAGTGGCTTAGAAATGACAGCAGTCGGAAGTTGGTTGCAGTCTTTTCATCTCAGAAATATCTTTGATAACTTTTATCAAGATCGGTTCAGATTTGGATATAGCTCCTATATATATATATATATATATATATATATATATATATATATATATATATATATATATATATATATATATATATATCCGACTTCAAGTTAATTGTACACAAAATGGGTAATATAAGCCAGAATTGAAAAGGGACAAATGCTTCGGAAAATTAAATAGAAATCGATTCAGTGAAGAGTACTCCTTTGGCAAGTAAACACGATTATTTTGTTTGTTTACAAACTGCTGGACAACGAATGTTTTCTCATCGGAGACGGGGAAAACCAAATTCGGCAGTTCACCACTTTCGGCCAAGCGAAGCTCTTTTGAGTCTATTTTCTTTCGGTTGCGGTATAAGTTCTTGCATTTCAATGTCTTTACCCCAAATTTTTGGACTTATTTGTAGAAAAGGGCATGAAATACCCCTTTTTAATAGTTCGACTGGTGAGAGATAACTTGTTTCATAAAAAAAAATTCCTCGGATTTTTGTCGGTAATAATTTCGAAAACATTATATTCTTAAGATGAAGGGATTCCAAGAAATTCTAACTCGAATATTTTCCAAAACCTAAGAATGAAGAGAACTTCCCTGCCCGATTTCGGAAATCTTGCGACACCGATGTAGTCATGGGAGTTATTTCATTTATTTTCTTTGGCAATATTCGTGGACCCCCCTGGAAGACATTTCTGGTTACATCGATACTTCCCGATAGGAAACACCGATATGTGTGTCAAATTTTTTGAACTCTACTTTCACAAACTACTCAGTTTTCCTTTTTGTTGCACAGTGTTATTTCATTAAATCACCCATTATAATCTCAGTTTCAAAACTATAACCCTTTTAGTGAAACATTAAAAATTACGACTTTGTATTAAAAAATATTAACGAATTTTTATTCTAATTAACTTTAAAACTATTTTAAATATGGTAACTCAAAACATTCTCTAGCTCAATTAAAGTTCAGTCAAAACGGAATGGCGGTGAGTGAGTCAAGTCGTTTTCTTCAAAAGAAAACAAAAAAGTGTTAAAGCAAATGAAATCATTTTGCAAAATAAGAATTCCAAGTCCGATTTAATACAGTGAAACAAAACTAAACAGACTCCATTGGAGTCAAATCTTAACAACTTATCCACAGCTTTATTCCCATAGAGGACATCTCCCTAACAATTAGGGCAGCCAAAAACCTTGGAAAGTGGCTTTAACGAATTCACTGTGTGCCTTACTTTTCAAACAGCCAATTCGCCATAACCAGGATTGACTGTAGAATAAAAGGGGTAACAAAAAGCCAAACAAAAAGTGATACAAACAAATAATAACAAGTTTGGTTTGTTGTTAGAAAACAACAACAACAACAATACCAAAAAAAAGAATATCAAATTGGAATTGTTAACCGTTCATCAGTCAGCCACCATTTGAATTTGGTTATTGCTCGTTTTGTTTTTTTTTTTTTTTTTGCACAAAAATACCAGCCAAAACGGAAATTAAAAGATCCAAATCGCTGAGAGTTGTTAGTTGGATTAACACAAGCGAATAATATGTGTATGTGTCATTTTGTTTGGAAATTGAATCATCATCATGATGTTCGCACGAACTTTAAGTGGATTTTTCGGGTACGAATTTCGCATAGAGTTTCGAATAGGTCTTCTCATAGGTTTTCTCATAGAAGACCAATAGGTTTTCTCATAGAAGACCAATAGGTCTTCTCATAGAAGACCAATAGGTCTTCTCATAGAAAACCAATAGGTCCTCTCATAGAAGGACAATAGGCCTTCTCATAGAAGACCAATAGGTCTTCTCATAGAAGGACAATAGGCCTTCTCATAGAAGACCAATAGGTCTTCTCATAGAAAACCAATAGGTCCTCTCATAGAAGGACAATAGGCCTTCTCATAGAAGACATAAAAGACCAATAGGTCTTCTCATAGAAGTCCAATAGGTCTTCTCATAGAAGTCCAATAGGTCTTCTCATAGAAGACCAATAGATCTTCTCATAGAAGACCGATAGGTATTCTCATAGAAGGACCAATAGGTGTTCTCATAGAAGATCAATATCAGAACAATTCTCAAATAATATCAAGAGGTCTTCTCATAAAAGATCAATAGGTCTTCTCATGGAAGATCAAGAGGTCTTCTCATAGAAGACCAATAGGTCTTCCCATGGAAGATCAATAGGTCTTCTAATAGAAGACCAATAGATCTTCTTCTCATGAAAGACCAATAGGTCTTCTGAGAGAAAGCCAATACGTCTGCTCATAGAACCTTAATAATTACAGGGTAAGATGAAAAAACTGCAACCAACTTCAGACTGCTATCATTTCTTAGCCAGTTGTCCGACAGCTGTTAAAATTATTCCAGTGACAGCTCATTATATTGTTTACAAGCGTACAAAAGCATTTTGCTGAGAATTTTCCAGAAAAAAAGTTATTCGTGATGGAATTCAAGCGAGAGTGAGTGTGATTTCTTTATATTTGGCTGGAAAACAACAAGTGGCTATTGTTAGAGCACTCCAGCATTTAAATGTGAATAAATCTTTTGTGTCTCTTTCCATTGCTCGTTACCGTGATACTGGTAGCGTAGCCCGACGTCAAGGAAGTAGACGGAAGAATTACTCTTTTCTGCAGAAATGGCTTGAAACTTAAGGAAGCGACTTGATCGAAACCCGCGTCGCAGTGACCGAAAAATGGCTCGTGAGCTGAACATATCACAATATTCCATTCGGCTAATATTTACAAATAAGCTCGGGGTAAAGCTATTAATATTCCAAAAATTGCTAGAACTTTCACCGCAATAGAAAGAAAATAGACTCAAATGAGCTAAAGAGTTGCTTCGCTTGGCCGAAAGCGGTGAACTGCCGAATTTGGGTTTCTCCGATGAGAAAACAAAACATTCGTTGTCCAGCAGTTTGTAAACTAACAAAATGATCGTGTTTACTTGCCAAAGAGGTCAGCTGAAAATGTGCACCTTCGGTTGGTCACCAGAACTCAAGCCCCGACCATGGTGATGGTGTGGGCCGCCACAACAGCCAATGGTCGCTCTCCGCTCGTATTAATCAACAGTGGCACCAGAATAAATGCCAAATATTATAGCGAAAATATTCTGGAGGGTGTATTAAAGCCTTGGGCAGGCAAACATTTTGGCCACAGACCTTGGGTATTCCAACAGGACTCAGCATCATCGCACTCAGCAAGCGCCACCCAAGAATGGTTACAAAATGAGGTTCCTCACTTCATTTCCAGCGAACAATGGCCAGCAAAATCACCGAATACCAATCCGTTGAACTATTTTGTCTGGAGTATTTTGGGAAGCAAGGTTGGCACTAAAAGATTCCAAAGTGTAGTGTACACTGAGGGAAAAATCCCGTTGCGAAATCAAGCACGTATGTTGTCATTTTCGCAACGACCCGTTGTTATATTTTTCAACAACGGCTGTTGGTGAATTGTGTACGAACGTGCTCAAATTGACACCGAGACGTGGTCAACTTTCGGTACCAACAACAGCCGTGCTTAATTTGTCCATTTGTAATATTGGTAATTGCAGCCGATTACACACGAGTAAAAAATGACAACGGTGGTGCATGATTCACACACGGTCGTTGTCAATATGACACCGGTCGTGTATGAATTATGCACCACCACCTGCATAATGATGCACCACCGTTGTTACTTTGTACACCGACGTGCATGAATCGTACACGATCGTTGCCATTTTAGCAACTACCGTGTATGAATCATGCACCACCGTTGTCATTTTTTTTACTCGTGTGCAATCGGCTGCATATTTACCAATTTTTCCGTGTTATTGAAAGAGAAAGGACGCATTGTGCAAAAAATTTATTGAAAATGAATAATAATTCGCAAGATCCTCAAAATATCATTGGTGAGTTGTTAGAAATCGATGGCAATATTGTTGTGGTTCGCGATACAAACCATTGCAGCAGTCAAGATGCGGAAAACAATGAGGACGATTATATGTTAAGGGAGTTCTTAAAAGGAATAAATATGGAGTCGCTTTTTGAACAATTAAAAGGTAAGTAAATAAAAATGAATTTTTCAGTTAATCAGTGTAATTAACAAAGAATTTTCTTTTTTGTTCTTTTAGCATCACATGTAACATTTCGCAGCTTGCAGTACTTGAAAAAAGAAGATTTAAAGGAAGCAGTGCCACCATTGGGACTGCGTGTTGAATTCAGAGAAAAGCTCTTTGCTTGGAAAAAACGAAAGGTACGTATTATTTGTTTTACAGAGTTGAACTCAGTATTAATATTGTCATAACAATAGCTCGGGATTGATGACGAAACTATGTCAGTTCCATCTAAAATAGGTGAATGGTGGAAACGCAACGAGACACCTGCAAGTACTCCTGGTACTCCCGACACTACAGGTTCGAACTGCTCAAAAGCCAAAGGAATTTTGTCAGAGGTAAGGTAAGAGTAATATTTGTGTAAGCATAGTTAATGTAGTTTTTTTATTTAATATAGGATCTAACGGAATTGTTAACACATACCTCGAAGGGGAAACTAGCGCTTGAATGTAGTAGCGTTAATAAGAAATTAAGTGACGAGCAAAGAGATGATATAATTAATATAATTATTGAAGATATTTTAACCAACAATGTTACTCTTTACACTCAAGACTATATGCGCATATTGGATGAAATTTGTTCCGTTTTTCCTCTTGAAAACGAAATGAGGGTAAGATTAACAATATAAACAACGTATCTGATTATGTAGTTTCTTAACTTATAATATGTCTTTATTTTTAGGATTATTATTACATTTCAAGAAAAGGAAAGAACAACGCAAGCGGAAAACTTTATGCCAAGTATAGAAACAAGAAGTCCAAAAGAATAAAGCTTTTGATTTCCGAGCCTAGCACAAGCAAAGCAGCAACTCACACATCTCCTAATTTTTGTAACAAAGATGTTCCCGAAATTGATGAATCAGTTGAAAATTCATTGAAAGCTTCCTTACTAAGAGAATGTAATGATTGGGGATCGATCTGCGAAAAATGGAAAAGATCTTTTAACATACGGCAAAGAGATATAAAAAATTTAAGTAGCCATACATTTCTCCTTGAATGGACGAAGTTGTCCGATGCAAGAGCTTCAGAATTGGTAAGTAGCCATGAGCTATTTATTTGTATATGGATACTAATGTTTCGTTTTAGGTCAACATTGATTTCGATATTATGTATCCACAGAAAGGCAATCTTCTACTTTCTAAATGGGACCAATTTAAGAAAAAAATTTACAATTATTATGGGAAAAATATTCATAACGAACATTGCAAACAACTCTTCGCAAATGTTTTGACGGCAAGCAGCATAGGTAAATTTTAATTCCTGATTTATCATAAACATTAAAAGTAATATTTATTTTATATTTCGGTTGCAGATGCTCAAGATTATATATACGCAATACTGTTGAATTCAGTTTTACCATCACCTGCTAGGTTTAAATGTGGAAACGGTAAATTACGAAAAAAAGTAACAATAGCTGATTCGCAGGAAAGTTTCGTACTGCGACTACCGACAATTAACGATTATAAAAGGCAAATTGATACAGTCACTGAAAAGTATTACAATGCTGGATTAACTATACAGCCATTTATAATTGTGGAGGGTTTGTCCGATTTCAATATAAAAGGTTTTTATGTTTTTTTTAACCACAATTTGTTAAAATTTCAATCGTTCCTCGAATGTTTAGATACATGTTTTAAAATTTTTCATGCACTTTCTTTAAAATATCCAAATGCCTGCCAAATTCCATGGATTTTTATCCAAAAATATTTTTATGAAATTAATACTGTATATGATATAAAATCAGTTAATTTGACTTCACTTATTAATTTCTGCAACAATAATTAAAGTACAATTCAAAATGTATATTTGCTTTCGTTGCCGTAAGCATTTTGATAAGGCAAATCTTTTAATAGCTCATTTGAAAACAGACCATTTAATGTCCACTAAATTTTTAAAAGTACAATGCGTTCAGGACAACTGTAAGCAAACATTTACAAAATTTACGTCATTCAGAATTCATTTAGAAAAACTTCACAAGAATCACACAAAAGCTCCACCAATGGTTAAAGCCATTAATGTGCCAGTTGAAATGTCATCATCAAAAGAAAATGATTATACAAACAGTGAAACTGTTATTAACAACAATACAATAGAAAAGGATTTAAATGTTTTGAAAAAGAAAACCTTATATCTGTCTTTACAATTACATGGTCAAAGCTATATGCCTAGAAATCATGTTATAGAAATACAACATTCTGTTTCAATTCTGCTTTCATCCATTTCATGTACAATTGAAAAATATATAACTGATCATCCAAATTATGAAGACTTAAGGTACTTACTAAACTTTTGTAAAAATCCTTTCGAAGAAACTAGAACGGAATATAGACTTTTAAAAATTTTAAAAGAACTAAACTTTTATGATGATCCAAAGGTTTATGTAATTAGCAATCAAGTCTCGGAAATTGTTATCAGCGGAAATCCCAGTTTAGGTCCAAAGTTATCCAATATTTATATAATGCCACTGAAATTCATGATAAGTGCCCTTTTTAAAATTCCAAATCTCTTAGATTTGACATTAGAAAACTCCAAAAAAATCCTAAATTCACCTGTTTTACAAAATTTTACAAACGGTGAGTTATATAAAACTAAATTATTAAAATATCAGTACAATTTAGTTATTCCCTATGTCCTTTACATGGATGATTTTCAAATTAATAATCCTCTTGGAACCCATACATTTTCCATATGTGGTTGTTATATTAGCTTTCCTTCAATGCCACAGCACTTGTTGTCAAAACTTGATTATATATTAACTGCTGCGTTTATACCATCAAAGGATTTAAAAGAACGTGGAAATGAAGTTTCATTTCACAATCTTGTAGAAGAGTTAAAAATTCTAGAAGAAGGGGTTGAAATTTGTGTTCAACAAAGTGTTCAGAAGGTGCATTTTATTTTAGGTGTAATTATTGGAGATAATTTAGCAGTTAATAGTATTTTAGGCTACGTGCAATCATTTAACTCTAAAAGATTTTGCCGGGTATGTAGAAGAAAAAAGTCCCAAATGCAATTCGACGCAATTCAGCATTTAGATAGTTTAAGAAACCAAGAGAATTACAACTCAAATGTATTGGAAAATAATTTTCAAGAAACAGGTATTAAAAACAAGTGTATCTTCGAATCTTTACCAAATTTTAACGTCACTGAAAATTTTTGTTTTGATATTATGCATGACATTTTCGAGGGCATATGTGTCTACGATATGTCTAATGTAATTCTCGGGCTGATTCAAGAAAATATTGTTACGTTAGATTGTATTAACAGCAGAAAATCTTTATTCCAATTTGGAGAAATTGAAGTGGGAAATAAATCTGGACCACTAGATTTATGTAGATTGAAAAACTATAACTTAAAAATGACAGCTAGTGAAACTATGTGTTTTACTAATTTTTTACCTTTAATGGTAGGCGATTTAATTCCTTTCTCCAACGATCACTGGAAAGTTTTTATAATATTATTACAAATAATCGATTTACTTTTAAGACCAAGTTATATAGAAGACGATTTAATAAAATTGGAAGAATTAATTAGAGATCACCATTCACTTTATATAACATTATACGGTTCGTTAAAACCGAAACACCACTTTCTTGTCCACTATCCCACAGCTATCCGAAAATGTGGTCCCCTTAAATATCTCTGGAGCATGAGATTCGAAGCTAAACACAAGGAAGCAAAAGCCTATTTAGGAAATACTACATCAAGAGTAAATCCCTGTCGTTCATTATCTATTAAGTCTGGATTGAAATTTTCCAATTTTTTATTAAAACACGAAGATAACTTAGAACCAAATGTTATCATTAATACGCATACCATCGAAGATTTGGCAAAAGAGGAATATTGTTACAAAAAAAGTAAGCCAGTTTTAAATTACCAAAATTGCAAAGTGTCTGATGACATTTTTTTTAAGGGAACTAGGTATAAAAAAAACTATTATTTAGCAACAAATAATGCCGCAATTGAACTTTTCAAAATTAAACATTTAATAATTGAAAATGAAAATGTTTACATTTTATGTAACCAAGTAAAAGTTAAAAACTTTGATTACCATTTACAATCGTATGAAGTTGGTTCTCTGAATGAGGATACAATTTTTTTAATACCAATTTTAGATTTTATTACTTACCCATTTCACTTATATCCTATGAATAATGGAAAAGTTTATTTCAGATTTAAGTTAATTTAATTTGTTTCTATACATTGAATATATGTAATTCGAATTGTTTTGTTAAATCAAATATGTATTTATATTGAATTTATGTAATTGGTTTCGTTCAATAAAATACTTTTCAAAAAATGTCGTTTCTTCTACTAAGGGTATAAAATGGAAAAGGAACGGATATCAAAAAATGACCACCATTGATTTCAATCTGACAACGGGCGTTGACAATCCGACAACGGAGCGTTGACAATCTGACAACGAAGCGTTGACGATCTGACAACGAAGCGTTGACAATCTGACAACGGGGCGTGCTCGAAATGACCACGTATGTGCTCATTTCATGCACATCTGTTGTTGAAATCGTTGCCAAAATCTCGGTGTCAAAATGACAACAGCGTGCTCATTTTGACACCAAACGTGGTTGATACACTATCATACACGGATGTGGTCATTTCATACACGGATGTTGTCATTTTTTCTCTGGGTGTAGGGCCAAAATACCGCAGAGCAACATTCGGGCAGCTTGTGATGGTTTCATTGGCCGTTTGAAGGCTATAATTCGTGCCAAAGGTGACCAATTCGAACAAATCTAAACTTATTCTAAAATTTGATGCAATTTTCGACATTTTTTTTTTTTGCTTTCATTTAATAAAATTTTAAAAATTTAAAAATTATGGCGTTGCATTTTTTTATCTCACCCTGTATACCCACAAGGGTTCTTGAAAATAATATTCTTATAATGGTCTAGTATTCGATTTATATTCTGTACAATAATTTCGAACACCACTGTATCTGCGCATAATAATGAATGCAAACAAAAAACTCATTAAAATGTTTGATTTTATTTTTTTATCTGTTTTTTCAAAAAAGTCAAATCTTTAACCTAATTTTAATTCCATGTGAAGAGCGCAGCCGCAATGGGTATTTTGATGGGCACCGATGCTTAGATGGCTGGTGCGGCCATAAACAGGGAATCAAGAAAAATAATTATATATTTTTGTTGATTTTAATTAAAATAATTAAGTATAATTATAAAGACCGATATCACACGGAACTAAAGAGAAATGAGAGAGATAGAGAGAGAAAAAAACCCAAACAAATTCAAAACATGTGTCAATAAAATTGGGAAAATTTAAATTGAATTGAATTTTCCCATTGCTAGAGAAACTTTTATTACAGCAGTGATTTTGATGATGCGTGTTGTTGTTACTTTTCTTTTGTTAATTCATTTACAAAAAATACAACATAAACAACAATTAGCTGATCAACAAATAGTCAACAGGTTTTTGCTTATTCAATATTTGTTTTCTTCTCAACACACAATTTAAACAATTTCGTTTTGGTTGTAGGAAGTAATTTACAAAATGAAATTATTGTCAATGGAGCGGCAGACAGGCAGGGCAATGGGGCGGGAATAAATAGCAAATCGAAAAAGGGTAAGTAAACATGCACAAACCAACGGTGACTTTGATGGCGGAGAAATTGCTGTCATAAAAACATGATGGGAATGCTGACCATTGCTGTCAGCCGTCAGACTACCCCGTGGCACTGCAACAAAAACTGTTTAGTTTTGTAATAGGAAATTATAAATTAATTTGAATTGAAATGATTGATTAGATTGTTGCAATTGCAATTACAGCTACGGAGGTAAACGAAGAAAAACAGGTGTACTTATATATATTGTTCAACATGGGTATGGGAGATGTAGATAAGGTAGTTTGCGGTAAAAAAAATGCATGAAATCAGCGAAGGATGTAATTTTTCCGCAGTAATGCTTTAAAAGCATTATTATGATTCCTTCTTTTCTGGAAATATTTTGAATATAGTACTAACTTAAAATAGCAATGTAGTTGGCATTGCCATCATAAATAATCTGGATATCTAATCATCCTAACATTGCATAAAAAGAGGGGGATAAACAATTAAGCCGTTCATCTCATCTAAAAGCTAGGGAATACACAATTATCTCTTCTTTAATTTAAAACGTTGTTACTGTGTCCTTGGCGCCCAACGTGGTATGGGACCTTGCTTTCCAAAATACTCTAGACACAATAGTCCAACGGATTGGTATCCGGAGATTTTGGTGGCCATTGTGCGTTGGAAATGAAGCGAGGAACCTCATTTTGAAAACATTCTTGGGTGGCGCGTGCTGGGTGCGATGGTACTGAGTCCTGTCCAAGATCTGCGGCCAAAATGTTGCGTGCCCAAGGCTTTAATACACCCTTCAGAATATTTTCGCAATAATATTTATTTATTTATTCTGATGCCACGGTCGATTAATACGAGCGAAGAACGATCATCGGCTGTTATGGCGGCCCACACTATCACCATGGCCGGCGCTTGAGTTCTGGTGGCCAATCGAAGGTGCACATTTTCAGCTAACCTCTTCGGCAAGTAAACACGATCATTTTGTTTGTTTACAAACTGCTGGATAACAAATGTTTTGTTTTCTCATCGGAGAAAACCAAATTCGGCAATTCCCCACTTTAGGCCAATCGAAGCAACTCTTTAGCCCTATTTTATTCTATTATCTTTCAGTTGCAGTGTAAGTTCTTGTACTTTTTGGGATTTCAATAGCTTTACCCCGAGCTCATTTTTCAATATTTTCTGAATGGGATATTGCTATATTTCGGCCACTGCGACGCGGGTTTCGACCAAATCGCTTCATTGCTGTTCGAACCATTTCTGCTGATGTTGATGTTTCCTTTTGTCCACATTCTTGACGTCGAGCTTTTTTTCTGGAAAATTCTCACTAATATGCTTTTGTGGGCTTGTAAACAATGTAATGAGCTGTGACTGGACTAATTTTAATAGCTGTCAGACGAGGGACTTAAAAATGGCAGCAGTCTGAATTTGGTTGCAGTTTTTTCATCTCACCCTGTATACGCAAAATCAGGGTATGATGCAAAGTGGGTTTGATGACATTTTCCCAAGTGGTTTTGAAATCCAATTTTTCTTGTTTGGGACTTTTTTTGCTGCTAAACGCCAACGTTGAATTTCTTTAGAGCCTTACTAGCTACAGCCAGCCTTAATATTGCTACAGAATGACCTGGTATGATAGATTCTGCTAAGCAGATTTTGATTGTGATACATTGAATTACTTGCTTCTCTGCAAGGCCTAATCGATATATAGAATAGGCTGAGATTGTGCATCTTGGGAGACTTAGGACTGACTGGAAACAATTTGAAGACACAATCGAGTGATTTGTTCCCAATTGCCTGTCGCCAGGAGAACAGTTTTCTGAGTACCCAACATTGAGTTTATGTAGAGAATAGACATTTTTTACCAGCCGGCCTTACTATTGCTACAGAACGGTCTGGTATGATGGATTTTGATCGTGATATATAGAATTACTTATTTCTCTGCAAAGCATAATCGGCTGAGATTGTGCATTTTGGACTGATTGGAAACAATTTGAACACACAGCCGAGAATAAGTTCGGCTGGTTTTTGAAGTTTATGCGAATGTTAGAACTCATTGGTTAGGTCTTTCGTATTTATATGACTTGACATGACTTCTGCAAGGACATTTTGGTATAGAATGATTTTGACCTTTGAAGATTGAAAATGGCTCTCGGCATAGCTACCACAAAAACTCAACAAAATCTCCTCTCAAAGAATTTTTGCCTGCAGTTGCCGTTGATGCTGCCTGGGTATGTGACGTTAAACTTCCCATGCATATTCCTTTCTTCTACAGGTGGTTTTACCTGGTCTACCACACGAAATTTGGAAAGAAGTCGGGTAAGTTCTTATCTACGTTCTTCCTCTAGTCTTTAGATTTGATCATTTGTGCTAGATCAAGGCCTTTTAAAATCCTCAATGACAAATCAACTACGTCTCAAAATACTGTTCTCATCTTTCTTTTTCGCCTCTCAATTCTATAGAAAAATATGCAATTATAAATTTTCCATTTAAATCCCTTTATGAAAAACAAACAAACAAACCTGTATTTCGTGATGCTGGATACAAAACGCCGACAGACGTCACGCATTTCCATATTAAAGACATTTTTAACTACATAAAAAATAATCAAAATAAATAAAAAATCCATATTTGTAAAACAATTAGCAGCAATATTACTTTACTTTGGTCGAAAGAATAATTCTCTTATGGCTTACACATGATATCACACTGACAGTTCCAATTGGATTTTTGCAAGGTGGTTTTGTGTAGGTGGCAACATTGTTCTCAATTGATTTGCAAAAAAAAAGCGGGCAAGAGAGAAGAGAAAAAACTCTCGAGAGACGATTTGTCGTGAAACGCACAAGAAGAAACAAACACAAAATATTCGCCAAAAAGGAAGTATATAACTGTAAATAAATACATATTGTGACATTTGGCAACTACTTACCTTAAAGAGAGTAATAATTTCTTGGTGGTTTAATGCCCCGTATAACAAAAATATTTTAAATATTTCTTGTTTCTTAAAATTGCACTGGTTTTTGTTTTGCAACAACAAAACAAACACACTGACACACATACAATGTTTTATAAACAATAGCAGCAGCACAGAAAAACGTTTTAGTTCAAGCTGTTAAAAGGTCCCCTCCATTCGTCACTTGTTCTTTTTATTGCTCACTGTGCTGGTGGGTTAACGTTGTGGCTTAGTGTTGTTGTTGTTGTTGGTATTAGAGTTGATGCTGTTGTTGTTTTTGTTGTACTTCTTTTTTCTCTCTGCTTTTGCAATATGATATGACCAAATTACGTATACTTCGTTTCGTTTTCTTTCTTTTTATTTTTGTTGTTGTTTGCGGTTGGGTTTGTTGTAAATTACCGTTTTTCTGCTTATTTGCTATTTTCCTTTTATTTCTTTAGCTTTCTTTCAATCAAACAATTAGAATTCACACTTTTTTTTTGAGAAAATAACCACTGTTCAATAATTTACCTTTTTTTCAAGCTACAAAACACAAATACATGCACAAACAATTGGAGTTTCACAATTTGTTGTTGTTTGTTGGTTTTTTCTCTCTGTCGTTTCGTTAGCTTTGTGTAAATTATGACAACGGGCACTAATTTCTAATTGCTTACGTATTTTATGTTAGTTGAGCAAGGATTTAATGATATATTTGCTTTACATTTTCTTCTTTGCTTTCGGTAACTTGGCCTTGGTTTTATTTGCAATTTTACACGGATTTTCTTCGTTATTTTTTTGGACAAATCTTCTAACGACAATCAACTTAAAGAAATTTGCCAGACCGTATCACGTCTGTCGTTTTTTTCGTTCGTTTGGCAATTGGCAATAGGGATTCATAGGTCGAGTTGTGACTTATCGGCTTAAAAGGTAAAATCGATTATTTTCTGTCGATTGCTTAGATGGTTGACAGACGACAGTTGTTTTGAAGGGTTTTTGAAGTCTTTAGGTCTACATAAGCAGCTTGCCATTATGACTAGATATCTTAAACTGATAAAGTTCTGTCTCGAGTAAATGTCAGATAAACGACAACATTCTTAACACATATTGAGGAAAGTCAATCAAATGAAATTTGACAATGGAAATTACAGAAAATGACAGAGATGGACATGCTTATTTGAAATGACTTTACCTTCTTGATGTTACCATGATTTCAACATTGCCAACTGACGAAGTTAATTTTTTGGGTGTTGAAAATTCTTGTATTGAAAAAACGGAAACGGGTTATTCCACAAAATATTTTGCGAGATAGAAGGTTGTTTTATTCTAAAATTTGAAAATTTATTGTCCATACATTCATGGTGTGTTCCAAAACTGCAAGAATGTAAACATTTTTACTACGATAACCGATTTTCCATTTATGGTGCCGAGAAATATTACAGAAATAGTGGATTCTTGCAGGATCTGGAACTAAGCTTCACTTTTCCTAACTGAATTTGAAATGATTTCAAACTGTTTTTCGTTACCAAATATTTTGCTGGGATACCACACGCACTCAGAAATGTGGATGTTTAGGTGATCTCTAAAACTAGTTTTTGACAGAATATAAAAACTGTTTTAATATAAATAGTATAAATAGTGAAGATTTTTAGATCAACCATCTAGTCGCACATTTGTAAGAGAAGATAGCATAACAATGATTTTCAAGGTATTAAGTTTTAAAATAAAGCAAAATTTTAAAATATTTACATAAGTTTTGTTGTTGCAAAATAGTCAGGCTCAATCTCAATATTGTTGTTTTAATAAGAACAGTGATTAGTTGTTGTTGGAAAAAAGTGGCAATGTAATAAAGAAGAAGACATAACTTCGGAAAGAGCCAGCAATCCTCGTCAGTTTCTTCCAAGGATTTTTTTTAAACTACACCGATGACAAAAACTTTTTATGTCCAACCACAAGCAGCTAACATTTTTTCTAAATCTTACCAACGCTCTCATAAACAATACTTGACTATTTTGCAACAACAGAATATGCAATATAAATTTGCAAAATTAATTTTTTTCGTAATATTTTCAGATATTCTTTGTCTGTATATTGATGGCAATATTCTTAGTGTCTACGTCAGAATCTGCCGCTATGAAGAAACCTAGGTAAATATGTCGCTGATACAACCAAATGAATATTTTTAATATATATATTTTTTGTATTCTCTAGCGTTTCAGGAAACATGACTGTAGAATGCGTAAAAATGGACAAAAACATGGACCAAAAGCAAATAGGAATGCGTACACAGAGTGAAGGCAATAAAGATGCTTTTCCAGGCTCTAAACATACTACAGAAAATCCTTTTATTGCACATTATCCTGCAAGGGTTTTAAAATCATGTTCTCGGTAATTTTTGATTTTAATCACATGTTTACAACGTTCATTATAACAAAGATATGTTATCAAAGGAATAATTTAAAAAAAAAACTTAAGGCTACATTGATTTTAACAATAAACTAAATACTCTCAGGAAGTTTTGTTCTGATTAATCAAATTTATTAATAAAAACTAAATAATAAATGTAAAATTCACTTAAGATATGACTTCAAACTGATGAGTAGCGAATAAGAGTTGTAGTTTTAGCATAAAAACAGGATATTTTTTATTAATTATATTTGTTTAAGATATATAATAAATAAAACCTAAAAATACATATGTCACTTCTAAATATTTAATATTTGAATATGTGCCCTAATCCGGATCCTAATCCAAAACGCCGATCAGTTTGTTTGCATATTTTGCAGTACCTGAATACAAAAAAAACAAAAAACAATATTATACAGGTCTAAAATGAAATAAATGTGGAATGTAAAGAATACATTTAAAGAGATTTACGCATTTCTGTCCAATAAACTTGCTTAAAACTCATCCGAGCGCCTTCTTTTATCATCTTCACAACAGATCTTGCGTTAGCAAAAATGTTTGGATGAGTGACTTTTGAACAAAGTTGGATGCTTATTTCGCTTTCTTTGAGCGTTTTGGCTATTCAAAACTTTGATCCTTTGTAGGAGAGGTGCCAGAAGGAATGGTCCGCTCTCTACCATATTTATAACAGATCTTGTGTTTATGGAAATATTGAGATGTGCCGAGTCTCAATGAAAACGAATGTTTTTTTTCCGCATTTTATAAGCTTCATGGATACTCAAAATGTAGGAGTGGACCGATATATCCCAATTTCACACCAGACCTTGGGTTAATAAAAATTTTGTTATGCGTGTAATTTAAAGAGAACCGGAGGCTTAGGAATAGACACTTACATCACATTTTATAAGAGTTATAATTATTCAAAATTTTGACCCTTTTTTGGGAGTGGTACTTGATGGTGTAAGCCGATGTTGTCCATATTCGCATCTTGATACGATGCATGATAGATACGATTTTCCCAAATTTTTCAAATAATTTCAAACTTTTTTTCAAAATTTCAAACATTTTGCTGGGAACCACAAGCATTTAGAAATGTGTGAATAGCTGCACCTTTGGATGTTTGGGTGATCTCCAAAACTAGTTTTGCCAGAATATAAAAAATGTTTGAATGCAATTAGTGAAGATTTTTATCACCAACAAGAGAAGATAGCATAGCAATGATTATGAAGGTGTTAAATTTAAAAATAAAACAAAATTAATTATATATAAAATTATAATTTTTATTGTTGCAAAAAGTCAGGCTCAATTCCATTGATGTTGTACTAATAAAAACAATGGTTATATATTGACTGATGGATAGATATTAAGGTGATCTCTAAAACAAGTTTTTGCCAGAATATAAAAAATGTTTTAATATAAATAGTGAAGATATTTATGAACAACTAACTAGTCGCACATTTGCAAGAAAAGACAGCATAACAATGATTTGGAAGGTATTAAATTTTAAAATAAAATAATAATAAACCAATTTTTATATAATGCGTGGTGGAGAAAAATGGCAATGTTTACCAAAAGACAAGATGTATATAGAATGAGTCCCTAATTCTAAGTCAGTTACATTGTTTTTTTTTTAATCGGAGGAATAGTTAGTACTTATTAAAAAAAACAACTCCGATGATAAAAACAAGCTTAGCCGTAATAAAGAAAATTAACATTTCTTCTAAATCCGACAACCGCTCCCTTAAACAATACCTGACTATTTTGCAACAACAAAATAAATACGGCATCTCAACAGAAACAAAATATGCAAAATAAATTTGTTTAATTAATTTTTTCGTAATATTTTTTTTCAGATATTCTTTGTCTGTGCATTGATGGCAATATTATCTACAATATTTCTTTTGACAAAGAGATTTTATCAACCGGATAGGTTTAAAAACTGTAAGGCTATTATGATTTGCACAATAAACTAAATGCTCTCAGGTTATGTTTTTATTAATCAATTTTATTATGACCTCAGTCATATGGCTGGAGAGGGTATATATCAAAACCAAAACGTGTCTAATCGAAATAACGGCTTTAGACCCTAGGTCTCTTTGGACCAAATCCGTCTCAGGACATTTGGAGTCGACCTAGCAATGTCCGTCTGACTGTCTGTCTGGCTGATGCGCACGATAACTCTCGAGGGGAGTACCAGATTTCATCCAAACTTGGTACTACGTAATATTATTGTTAGATCGAGTTCGGAGATCGACAATATCGGTCTACTCTTTCTAGTACCTCCCTCCACAAAATGTCAACATTTTCAAAGAAAATAGTTGACTGCACAGAAAGAGAAAGGATAATTCGAATTTGCTCCAACTTTGCAAATCCTAATATTTGCATCAGTGCTACTCCACCCCATCAAGTACCTCCCCCACAAGGGGGTAAAAAAAGGAAAAATTATAACTCTTATAAAATATGACGTAATAGTCCGATTGTCTTCAAATTACACACATCACAATATTTTTATTAGCCCTGGGTCTGATGTGAAGATGAAATATATCGGTCCACTCCACCGAGTACCTCCCCCATAAAGGGTCAAAATTTTGAGCATCCATGAAGCTCATAAAACACAAAATTAACATCCGATTGCATTCAGACTTGACACATCTAAATATTTCCATCAACACAATATCTGTTATAATGATGTTAGAGATGGGACTACTCCTTCTGCTACCTCCCCCACAAAGGGTCAAAGTTTTGAGTAACAACAACGGCTATAAAATCCGAAGTAAGCATCCGGTTCTCTTCGAATTGCCTGCATCACAATATTTTTATTAATCTAAGGTATGGTGTGAAGATGGTAGAGATTGGTCCACTCCTTTTGGTACCTCTCACACAAAGGGCAACAATTTTTAATATCTACGAAGTTCATAAAACGCGAAATAAATATCCGATTCCATTCAGACTTGGTACATCGCAATATTTCCACCAACACAAGATCTATTATAAAGATGGTAGAAATCGGACCATATCTTCTGGTACCTCTCGGGTTCATGATTGTGAAATTTTATGATTTCGCATAAAATTAGATATAAATGTTCGATTTCCTTCAAATTTTGCACATACCAATATTTTTATAAGTATTAAATGAAGTATGAAAATGGAGTACTTCGGTCCACTTATCTTTTACCTCACGCTTATTTCCACATTTTCCAAAAATTTGCACATATCTCATATAAAGTGAAGGAATTAGTCGATATAGTCCACGCTGTAATATTTATATCTTTGAAATCATACAAAAGGAGCCTGAGAAAACCTTAAATAACGTGGAACTACTTATATTAATTTCTAATGGAATAATAAATTGTAGTTTTAGCCTAAAAACAGGACATTTTTTATTAATTATATTTCTTTGAGATATATTATAAATACATTTATTGCCTAAACCCTTCTAAATATTTAATATTTGAATATGGACCTTAATCCAAAACGCCAGTCAGTTTGTTTGCATATTTTGCAGTAAAACTTTAATATAAAAAAAAAAACTATTGTATAGGTCTAAAATAAATATGGAATGTAAATAATACATTTAAAGATATTTCCGTATTTTTGTCCAATAAACTTACTAAAAACTCATCCGAGCGCCTTCCTTTCTGATTATTCGACTCTTTTTCTTTGATCACAATCAGACTCTGAACTCTGCACTAGAATTAGTTTATTTTACATTTTTTTTACAAATTCATATATAGGGAAAAACAGAAAACATATATGGAATTAAAGGATATCATTGTTTTATCCATTAACGGCAAAAAAAGGGTTTTCCCAAGTGAATTTCAATCTTTTTTTTTTTAAAAATTTAAATATTTTGCTGGGAACCACAAGCACTTAGAAATGTGTGAATGGGTGCGCCTTTGGATGTTTAGGTGATCTCCAAAACTAGTTTTTGCCAGAATATAATAAAATGTTTAAATGTAATTAGTGAAGATTTTATGACCAACTAACTAGTCGCGCATTTGTAGGAGAAGATAGCATAGCAATGATTATGAAGGTGTTAAGTTTTAAAATAAAACAAAGTTAATTATGTAAAAAATTATAAGTTTTGTTGTTGCGAAAAAGTCAGGCTCAATTCCATTGATGTTGTACTAATAGCAAGTAAAAAAATCTGTAAGTTCGGCCGGACCATTTGGTACAAATTTAACAATTTTCAAAAAATAAAATCCGTAAAAAATCTGTTAAAATCTTAAAAATGCCGAATGTAGCCGTATATTATGATCATAATCCTGCACAGGGATTTGTCATAATCCTGCAGAGACAATTTTCTGGCATAGGATGTAGTATTCATTATGAACTGTCGTTAAAATCATCAAAATACCTAATATCGGGGGGTACCGTTATATGGGGGCTATACGAAGACGTGAACCTGCACATACAATTTTCTTTCATAGGCTGTAGTATCCATTACGAACTTCTAATGCGAAATTTGAAACAATTCCGGTAAATAATGACGCTAAAGTCATCAAAATACCTAATATCGGGAGGTACCGTTATATGGGGGCTATACGAAGACGTGGACCCACATGGCCCATTTTCAATACCAAAAGTCCTGCAGACATAATACACATTTGAGTAAAATTTTATCAATCTACTTCATTTCATTCGGAAGCTAGAGTGATTTCCACAGACGGATGGACACTGATAAATCGACATAGAATTGCTGATCAAAAATATATATACTTTGTGGGGTCTAAAATGTATATTTCGAGGTGTTACAAACGGAATGAGAAACTTAATATACCCTCCATACTATGGTAGAGGGTATAAAAACAAAACAAGTTTTTGCCAGAATATAAACAATGTTTTAATATAAATAGTGAAGATATTTATGAACAACTAACTAGTCGCACATTTACAAGAGAAGACATCATAGCGATGATTCTAAAGGTATTAAGTTTTAAAATAAAATAAAATTGTTGCAAAATAGTCAGGCTCATTTTCATTGATGTTGTGCTAATAAAAACAATGGTTATATATTGTGTGGTGGAGAAAAATGGCAATGCTTACCAAAAGACAAGTCAGTTCATTTGTTTTTCTTTTTTTTTTGTCGGAGGAATATTTAGTAGTTATTGAAAAAACAACTTCGACAATAAAAACCAGCTCAGCCGTAATAAAGAAAATTAACATTTCTTCCAAATCCTACAACCGCTCCCATAAACAATAACTGACTATTTTGCAACAACAAAATAAAGACGGCATCCCAACACATACAAAATATGCAAAATAAATTTGTTTGAATAATTTGATCGTAATATTTTTTTTTTTTCAGATATTCTTTGTCTGTACATTGATGGCAATAACCTTTATGTCTATGTCAGAATCTGCCTCTTTAGGGAA